TATATGGTGATAGCATCAGGGCTAATGCTAAAGCTAACAGGCTAAACTGGGGTTCTTCTTCCATGAAGCAACTCTGTTGTCCTCCATGTTATAGACTGAATCGTTTCTACCTTCTCCTCTCTGTCAACGCTCTCTGGTTTCATTTAAAAGTCGATCGTCAGATATTGTCCAAGATTAACCTTCAGGGTGGATATAGCTCGCTAGCAGCCTCGCACCGATGACCTATACACGTCATCATTTACCCAGAATGCTTTGCGTGTAAATAAAACGGCCACGTCGGTGTAATATATTTTTAAACTTTTAGTCTAAAAATGATAAAAACTTAACAGCCTACAGTATTTTTACAGTCTTTATTTTATAGTTAAAATATATGTTTATCAAATAAAGTCTAATGTTATAACTAATCATGGATCCCTTTAAAGAATATAATGAAGTGACAATCCAGCCAATTGTCTTTATTTTTAGACGTATCATCATATGAGAGATTAGTGCAACCAGTTTCGTTACCTTTCATGAACATCTGATGTTTACGTTTGAGGAAATGACAAATAAATATCCTTGAATCCTTGAACGTCTTTATTCCAAGAAGTCCAATTTTCTTGAAATCCTTTAAAGATCAATAGTTCTACAATCTTTTGGACAGTTTTTCAGGGTTTTTCTTTGGACTTTGGCTGCTTTGTCATTCTAGCCAATTAGAATAATTATGGAAGTTCGTGCTTAAATAAAGTTGAAAAGTGAAGGGCAAAAGAAAAAACTTAAAACAGGATCACCCTTCAGCTAATCAAGCTGTTTATCATCGGTGTTTTTCATAGAGATACAGCTTTAAAATAAAAAAACAATCTTTGGTAATCAACCAAAGGCAACCAAAGAGACGGCTGTGGTGGAGTGCTTAGGGGAGTCATCCTGTAACCAGAAGGTCACTGATCTGATCCCCCAGTTCCAGCCGTCTCAGTCACTGTGTCCTTGGGCAAGATACTACTGATGATGGTCAGAGGGTCCGGTGGCACAACATGGCAGCCCCACCTCTGTTAGTGTGCCCCAGGGCAGCTGTGACTACAGTGTAGCTTACCACCATCAGTGTGGGAATGGGTAAATGTCTGTAATGTAAAGCTGTTTGGGGTCCAGACAGACGATGAAGCGCTCTATAAGTTCAGTTTATTTATCATAATCAAAGAGCTTAAAGTGCCTTTGACATCAAATGTTTGCAATAATATGAATGGATTTTTAAAAAATAACATTGACAACATATGGTAAAAAAAGATTTCAAGCCGCTGAGATGACCAGTTCTTGAAATATTTGCATGTGAACTAACAGGAAGTGATGTCAAAGGGGAATGTCTGCATGTGAACAGAGCATTGCTACAAAGGCCGACAACACAGACTGTAGAGAATAATCTGATGTTTCTTTATATTATTTTAAATCACTATCATAGAGAGATGAGAAAAACTCAGCTCAAATAATATTGTTTTCTTTTTTCTTTCTCAAAGAGTTCCCCGTTTGATGTCACTTCCTGTTTTACTTCGGCTAAGCCAAGTTCAGAAGAAACTATGCCAATTTTGTGACATACTGGGTAAAATCATGTGTATTATGCCAAGTTTCTTAAATATAAAGATGTTTTCTTTGACTTTTTGTATTTCATGGGTAAGCATGTCACAGGCACTTTAACAGTCCAATAAAAAACTGCTTTTTGTGAGAGGTTAGTTTTGGCTTTTTATGGCTGAACAATTAAATGGTCAAMATGTGTGTATCACTATCATTGTGTACATTCATTCAGAGATGGAATCTGTGCTCTGCATTTAACCCATCGTTTGTGAGATACATACAAGTGGAGCAGTTAGGGAGTAGGTGTCTTGCTCAACGACACCAGGGCATGTGGGTAAGGCAGGAAATTGAACCCCAAATGGGCTGCCCTACCACTGCACCAGAGTTGCCCCACAACAACAACAAACTAAAAACATGAAGTGTTCCAAACTAACCCTCAGAAAGACTTACAAAACTATTAAAATCCTTTAAAACATTAAAATAAAAGAAAATTCAATGAGACAATTGGTTGAGATTTCATTGTTTTTTTTTTTTGCAGAAACAAAAATATATTTTTAAATCTAACAAACATTTGAACCTGGTGTTCCAGTGAAAATTCTGAGCAGGAACATTTTAGAGACTCTAAACAAATGTTTCCTTAACTTTTTTTAAAACTACATTTGTTCACTGAGATGATTTTTTTTTTTAAAAAAGGGAACAAAGATGCTCTAGAATAAATTACTCATCTGTCGGATTAATTTAATGAGCGTTTTTGTTTAATAAACTGGTTGACAACAATAAAAGAGACAAAAAATAGAAAGCTAATAATAAGTGTTAAAGGAGAAAAACTCTTTAAATCAGTGAGGTGGAACACTACGAGCTCATAGCCCAGAGATGAAGTTATTTGTGGAAAGTGAGTTGAATTTTTCTTCAACAAGTGCCTCAGAGGAACAAGAGAGAGAAGCAGGAGGTGACAGAGTAAAGATGAAGATAAGCAGAGCCCAGAGCAGACTTTTCACAGCAGCTCGTTAAGACTCGCCTTACCAAACAGAGATAAGTACTTACATAACTAGTATAGAACATTCCATTCTGCATCGGGACGCAACAGGGAAAAGGGACAGGAGACAGAGAGACAGAGAGAGACAAGCCAGAAAGGAGAGGAGGAGGAAAATGAGAAAGAATGATGAAAGAGGGAGGCAATGAGGAGGCAGAGATGAGGACAAGGTGAAGAATACAAAATGACAAAAGAAGCGAGGCAAAACACAAAAAGGTTGAGTAAAAAAAAAAAAAAAAAAAAAAACATGAAACCAGTGGGAAGAAAATGAAAGGCAAGATAAAGTACAAACAAATGTTGGTACATAAGTACAAGACCATAGTGGACAAGTCAAAGACAGTGTGGTGGAAACAGGACAACCAGATGACAATGCAAAAAAAYAAGTCATTGTGAGGACGAGCCAACACAGGACAAAAGATGAGTGGTGACGGTGCAAAACAGCAGGAAGGAGAGATTAGATGAAGAGGACAGAAAGAAAACGAAAGATCAACAGAGGAGAGAGAGAGAGAGAGAGAGAGACAGGAAGTGGAGGGTTAGTGACAGATCGTCTTTGTCAGCCACAAACTGCAGAGTTCAGGACAGTCAGGAATCTCACACACAGCTACTGCATTTATACTGTGGTAAGTTCATGTACAAACATACCAACACAACAACAACAACAACAACAACACAACACAACAACAAGCAGCATGCGCAGACGGCAGGTTGGTTTTAAGTCTTTGTAAGGTGTCTGCAAGTTTCCATCAGCTGATGTCAGCCCAGGAAATAAATCACCCTGCTTCGAAAACTCAAAGTCTTTAATTCCTCGATGGTTTGGACGTGTTTCCTGTCTGTTTCCACTCTGGATTCATTCAGCTTTGAACAGAACCGGGCCAGCTGGTTACTTATGTTTTTTAAGACACCCAGCAGGTGGATAAAAGCCCAGGCATGGGCTAAAAAAAACACATAAAACAGGAAACTGGCTTTGGGTTGTTTTGAACAGATTGAACAAACTACAGAAGAGACAGAGTTATTGTGAACTGGTGGAGCTGCTGGCATACAGATTATGTTCCTGTAGAACCAGAGAATACCTTCCAGTCATGGTGATGAGCTCAGTCAAGACCCAAAATAAACAGGACAGGGTTTTTTGTATTGTAACCGATAATATCATTTAATCTCATCTTTGTTTTTGTATGAAGGCACATTTTCCCCAAAAATGTCAAACACCTGCACACAGCAAGCATATTAAAATGAGGGGTGTCCTGATACCAGTTTTTCTCAGAGTACTTTGATTTGGGTACTAACTAATACAAAGTACCAATACTGA